TTGAAAACAACAGCCACTTAGGAACATCCTAAATGGACCAGCAGACCGAGGATCAGAAAACAGCATCCACCTAGGAACGTCCTAAATGGATCAGCAAGTGAAGGACTAGAACATCCCGTGATGGCTAACCTTCCTTGTCAGCTTGACTGGGTTTCACATCACCTCCAGGCATGTCCAAGGATGTCTCCAGACAGGTTTAGCTAAGGATGGTGACATCATCTGCTGAACTGAGTGTCTAGACTAGATTAATAAGAAGGAAGGAGAAGACAAGCTGAGCATTGCTTTCGTCTTCGCTTCCTGACTCAGTGGGACCAGCTGGCTCACCTTCCTAACTCCATGTCTCCCCCACCATGATGAACGTACCTCCACCGTGAGCCAAGACAAGCCCTTCCTTCCTCAAGTCACTTCTATCAGGTATTTTGTCTCTCAGGCAAAAAGTAACAATTCTGTGGTGCATTGCCACAGAAAACAAAATATGACATTAGGGCCATGCCTACACCAAAATAATACGGCAATGGTTGTATTAACCTGAAGGCCATGCAACGCGGTTGCTAACATTCACTCCTCAATCAGAAAAAAAAACACATTAAAACTCTCTTAAGAACCAACTGGATTTCTAATTTTAAGAAATTCAACTTTTGGCAATGCCTCCAACAAGGTATAAATGATAACTCCTAGGCCCCTCCTCACGAGTGTGACATTTCCGCCAAGAGCTGTCGTCTGGTTGGTTGAAGACATTCTCTGTGATGGCAGAACATGATTATCATCATACAAAATCAAACACAACCTGAGGATCCTGCTTCAGCCATCGCTCTCCCTTCTTCCCAGTGCAGGCTGGTAGCCCCGATTTATTTTCATACTTTGCTCCAACATTGGCAATAGTTGTACCAGGACCAGTTGTGGTGCTGGGGCTGTTTGGTTTTTAAAGCATTCTCCATCTCATAGTGGCATACACTGTGGTGACCTTCTGGCCTGGAAGGGCTGTCCAGAGGCAGGTCTGCTTCAGTCTGCCGAAGGCTTTCTTTCCCTCTGCCCTGGTTTTTGCTTTTCCTTTGGCTATGGCAAACACCCAGACTAAAAAGCAACTTCGGAAAGAAAGGGTTCACTCAGCTGAAAATTTCACCTCGCCATCCATTATCCCATGAAGTCAAGGCAGGAGCCCAAGCAGCTAGCCACATCATTTCCGCAGTCAACAGCAGGGAGAAACAAAGGCATGCTGCTTGCTTGCCTTCAGCTAGCTTTCCTCCCTCTGCACAGCCCAAGCCATGAAATGGTGCTGCCCGTGGTGGACTGGGTCCTGCTCTACCAACTGTCAAGACCATTTCCAACTGTCAAGCCGGATGGTGGTGGCTCATGCCTTTGATCCTAGGACTTGGGAGGCAGAGGCAGGTGGATCCCTATTCGAGACCAGCCTGGTCTACAAGAGCTAGTTCCAGGACAGGCTCCAAAACCACAGAGAAACCCTGTCTCGAAAAACCAAAAAAAAAAAAAAAAGAAAGAAAAAAAAAAGAAAAAAGACCATTTCCTACAGACATGCTCACAGGCCAGCCTGAGCCAGCAATTCCTAATTAAAACTCTTGTCCTGGGGGATGCTGGGTTGTGTCAAGAAGACTGTTAAAATCAGCTAGCACATTCCCCTTGGGCTGTTCCTCTGCCCTTTGGTCATCAGTACAGCAAATATGGGTAATGCCACAATTGAGAAGCAGCCAAGGCAGAAGCTGGAGGGCTGGAAGATGGCTCAGCAGGTAAAGGGGTTCTGTGATATTGCAAAGAGCCATGGTCCAATCCCTAGGATCCATACTGGGTGGCTAGCAGCAGCCTGTAACCCCAGTTCCAGGGGAATCCAACACCCTCTTCTGACCTCTTAGGGCACTGCATGTGTGTGGTACATATAAACTCATTCAGGCTCATATATGTACATGAATAAAAATTAAGTAAATAAACCACTTTTAAACGACAAAACCTGAAATAAAATCACATAATAGCTTTCAATCTAGATCACAAAATTAATCAAACAAACACAAAAAGTAATATGAAGTGTGATGTAATACATGTCAGTAGTACTGATAAGAAGAAAATACCAAAATGCTTCAGGAGGATAATGTGTTAGTGTCTTCTTTTCCCCCAAAGGATTTTACTCTGTTAAGTTCCAAAGACCTTTTCTTTGAGACTGAGTCTCATTATACAGCCCTGACCCTGACCTTAAACTCAAGGTATTCCGTCTGCCTCAACCTTTCAACTCCTAGCTAGGATTACAGCACACAACACCAGGTCTAGTGTCTAGTACAACATGCCTTTACATGTTAGGGCCCATGTGAGAGGTTGAAGTGGAGCAGGAACTGAGCATTGGCCTTGTCTTCTAAGAGCTGCTTTTAGAGAGAGCCCCCAAAGGCTTTGTAAGGGTCTCCTTGAAGCCAGAAGTTTTCTCTGGCATGTTTTGGTGTGTCCTCTCCAACAGCCCTATGCCCAAAATAGAGAGACTGTAAAAGATCTTTCTAGGCATGGCATCAACCTTGAGACACCTAGTCGGAAATTGGCAGGGTGCCTTCAGAAGGCAGGGGAGGTAATTTATTTTTCTAACTTCACAGCAGGAACCGAAGCCCAGGCAGATGCCTCTGTGTGTGACCAGTGGCTGCTCTGAGTGAGATCATTATTAATTATTAGCCACTTTTGAGTGTCTTTCTCAGAAGCTGCAGAATACTTAGGAAGCCCTACCTTCTTCGGTTGCAGTCAATACTGTGTGTACCGTTGCGTGGGAACCCGAGTGGCACGTAATTACAAAACAGTATTGATTCCTGGCAGATGGACCGAAAGCGGACAAATCTTCTACATAAAATTCAGCTAAATCTTCCAAAGACTTGGTTATTTTTTTTTCCTCAAGAAAGAAACCAATAATAGTAACAAACTTAAAATGTTAGCTGAATGAGGGCTATTTGCTGCCAGAAGACTGATCAGTGCACCTCGTTATCTTGTTATCTGGGCTGGTGTAATTCACATCAGTCGAGTGTTGGAAATACCTCTACTCTGGGGCTGCCATCGAAATTATTCACTCAGCTTTTAGGACGAAGTTTACCTCTTATGTTCCTCTGAATTATTTTTTCTGTGAAGTGAATAATTGCTTGTTTGGAAACAACACACCCCTGTTTTTCCTTCTCCTCTTTGTTACACTGTATGGGATGCTCCATAACCCAGAGCTCTCTCCCCTCTCACATTCAAGACCTCCTCTGTTTCAATTCCTAAGTCATTTAAGAGTGAACCAAAAGCTGAAACCTTTCTTCCTTTGTGCAACTCCTCCTTCCTTGATAGTAAGGATGCACGGTGGTACCCAGCCTGCCTTTGTCACATCATTGGTGCTCTGTTGACTCATGCCTAGACCTGCAGGAAGGCCTCACCCTGCTTTGTTGGTGTCTAATAGTTGTTGGGGACCTTTGCAGAGTGCAAGCCCTGCTGCATCATTTGGCTACACAAAGGCCTCCGGGGGGCTCCTCATCACATACAGTCCAAGATGGACATGTGTTTTCAAGTTAGGAAATGACAGATACTGAGTCTCCCAGGGCAGCTTCTGTCCTAAAATTCTGAGGCCACTGATACACAGTATACCCTGATACGCTGGAAGATCGTAGCTAAAACTACTGCAGCAAGGCTTTCCCCCAGGTTTCTTGGCACTTTGAGGGCCTTTGGTAGACAGGGTAAATGGCTTTACCCTGGTTTTGCAGAACTGACTTGTCAATAGAATGGGGGCTGTTCCCTCTGGAACATCTCATCCTTCCTTGCCATGCGATGAAGTGCTGTGGGAACATTGCAGGGAGTTAGTGGTACCTGGTCTGTTTCCTGAGAACTTCCTAACTGAGGAAAAAGAAACCCAAGCTAGTACTGAGTCTGACACAAAGGCCCACAGCTGATCCTGATGCTACCAGGAGTACTGGAGAGCACATTGTTTTACATGTGATGCTGTCCCTCAGGCTAAATGCCAGTCATTCGGCTCCCGTTATTAGGACAGTCACCAAAGCCATTCCCACGCCCCTACAGTTTCTAGTGTTCTGGAGGTGGGGAATGACATCATCCCTACCTCAGAAGCACCAGCCCCTGAGCTTAGCTCTCAGCTCTCCCAAATCCTCCTCTTTTCTGAAAGTAGAATGAGTCATGTTAATTTGGGGGTTGTCTCCCACATTTTCTGTCTCTCCATCTACAAAATAGTTGAGCATAGGTCCTGGAGCATATGACTGGCGTTGAAGTCAAGTTCTGCTACTTCCTGGGACAAACCTTAAACCGTAACATGACATCGAACAACTCATTCTTCCCTTGCCACAGTATTTGCATGTAAACTGGTGATAAGAACACCTACCTCAAAAGACATTTTGAAGATTCAACAAGATAGACACTTACCGTGTGGATTGTACTATTCGCTCTTGGGTAGGGCAGTCGTAAGAGATGAGAATGACATGAGGTCATGATGGTGTTCCCTTAGCATGGGGCCTTACCTGAGCAAGGAGGTGATGTCTGCATTTACTAATGAATCCTCCAGCAAACAGAAGCAGCCCAGTATGAGCCACAGGGATGTGGTCTAGGTGGGAGTCTAGGAGTTCTGTGGACTCCGCATGTGGCCTTGAATATCCACTCCATTTATTTGAGCCTTGTATCTCTGAAATCTTTGTATGGTCTGATAGTGAAATGATTGATTGATGTAATGCAATGGCTTTCTAGAGTCTGACAGATCGAAGATGGCTGGTCTTTTGTAGCCTGTTTTGGCAGTCCCAAATGGCCACAGAAAGAATATGTCTTGGGGAGAGTCTGCATTCCTGGCAAATGACAACATGGTCCACACAACTCCAAATCTCTTGATATCACCCCTGCTTGTCCATGTGTCCCCCAGTGGCCCGAGAGGAAAAGCCTTGGAGCACTTGGGCATCTGTCCTTGAGAGCTCATGTCTGTTGGGGCAGATCTCATGCTAATCTCACGAGTACCCACCGCTAACATGGTGTCTGCTTGTCACCCACAGCAACAGAGGCGAGAGAAGGAGCTCCGGAAGCAGCAGGAGCGGGAACAGCGCCGACACTATGAAGAGCAGATGCGCAGGGAGGAGGAGAGGAGGCGTGCGGAGCATGAGCAGGTACTGGGAGGTGGAAAGCCCACCCACAACGTGCCCCCTGGGAACTGCAGCACCAGGGAGCTCTCTGGGGCATAGAACTTAGTCTCCAAGGGCTGTTCTACTATGACTTTTGCCTTTTCCTCAAGCAATAGTTCTTACCTGCTCAAACAGACAAGTACACAGCTTGACAGTGTCCATGCTTCCTACCTAAGCCAGGGCCTCCCTGACCTTCCTAGAACTTCTGACTTCCCAGCATGGAACCAAGTCCACTCTACCATCATTGAAGATGAACCATGCTACTCAGCTTATTTCTGCTCTCCAACTCCTGGTAGTGGCTTCTCTAATGGATAAAATCACAGTCTGAGCCAGCGAGCTATGGGATGGATCTGTTATACAGACTGAGCACACTAACCTTGCTCTTGTGTTCTGTGCCTGCTGTTGGCACAGAGCCTCAGAACTTTATAGCATTGTTAATTCCAAGGAGTTTATAAGAAAGGTGCCTAATAACGAGCTTTAACATAAAGCTAGTTTCATTAAAACCAAATAGAGACAGGTAATTGCCGAGCCCTCTCAGTCAGCTGCTGCTGGCACGGGGGCTGTGCTTCAGACTGCACTGAAAGGCTTGCTTTGCTATGGCCTCCTCTTCCTGTGCGGTGAGGTGCTGGGTACGCTTCCCCCTCCCTTCTCCTCCATTTCACTTGGAAGCTCCTGTTACCTATGCAATTACTGGTTCTTTCTCTCTCTTTTCCTCTTTCCGTTCTGCCCAACTCTCTGCTGCTGCCTCTCCAGGAGTACATCAGGCGACAGTTAGAGGAGGAGCAAAGACAGTTAGAGATCTTACAGCAGCAGCTACTGCATGAACAAGCTCTACTTCTGGTAATGGGAAAGTCACACACCAGCAGACCTGCCTGGTGTTCACCCTGAGTGCGTGCATGCTCGCGTGCGTATATGAGTGTGTGCGTGTCTGCATATATATGTGTCTTTGTGTTTCCACCTCCTAACATGCCGATTAAAAATCAACCTACTAAACCCCGGAATCTCACAGAGGCCTCATGTAATTTCCTGACCCAGTTTGCTAAGTCCTCAACACTTTAGCACGCTTTATTAACTCCCTCCACTTGTGAAACTTTAGCATGAATCCAGCCTTATTATAAGTTCAGACTACATTCAAGACCCACCATGTTTATTGCCATGTAATTTTGAAAGCCGTTTGCAACATGCAGGAATACAATCACAGCAAATGGACCTCGGCCACAGAGCCTGTTCAGCCCTGCAGTCATGTGTCCTTTGCAGGCTGTTAGCCCTGCCCTTACATTGGGAACAGTTTGTTTCCTGCTCATGCCGCATTCACTGGAAGACCTTCTATTATTGCTGCTACACGGCTCTCCACATGGGCTTCTTGGTGTACCCTTTTTGTTTTTTTAGTGGCATTCTGCCATCTTTTTAACCTGAAACATAAACTTGCAAATAGCTTGAGTTAGTACAGGTTTTATTTAAAGGATAGCGGAGTCTGGTTATTTATTTGGCTGTTTGATTATTTGGTTATTTGGTTGTTGACTTGGTTGTATACTCTACCACATGTCTGTCAATGACTGAATTACCAAATCAGGCAGTGAATGACTCCTTCTAGGGATGACAGTCTGACTACCCTGCATCCCTGTTGAAATTCTCCAGGGACATGTCACTTTCCGAGTGGTACTCTGTAGGCAACCCGGCATGCCATACGTCATGTTTGTATTGACATATTCCGTGTGGACACTAACACGAGGCCTGAGTTATCTGCGGGTACTTTGTATCCTTCTTGGAATTCTGTTTGTCTCCCGTTTCCCGTTGTCTCCACTGCATGCTTTGCTGATGCTCAGCGTGGCAATGTGGTTCCATGTGGTCACGTGCTCTCTTTGCTCTTCCTGCTCTGGGTAGGAATACAAGCGCAAACAGCTGGAAGAGCAGAGGCAAGCGGAAAGACTTCAGAGGCAGCTAAAGCAAGAGCGGGACTATCTGGTGTCCCTCCAGCATCAGAGGCAGGAGCAGAGGCCCTTGGAGAAGAAGCCGCTGTACCATTACAAGGAGGGCATGAGTCCCAGTGAGAAGCCAGCCTGGGCCAAAGAGGTAAGAGAGTTGCTGTGTCCATTGCTCCAGTTACCACTGGGAGCTCATCCAACGGGAGCCCAGAATCCCATTGTACAGTTGGAAGACACCCATCATAAGAGGCACACCTCACTTCTGGAGGGGCCATGATGTCACTGCAGAGGAATGCTGATATACCTGGTACTGCTTGTCGTAGTTTTCTTGTGCGCCTTCTCGAGTAAAGTAGGTTTCTGTAGGGGAAAAGCAACAAAAATTAGTTTTCCTTATACAAGTCTATTTAGAGGCGCTAGGGACATGGTAAAGTGCTCGCCTCGTAAGCACAAGGACTTGAGTGCAACCTTCAGTATTCACAAAAAAAGCCAGGCCTGGTGGAGAATGCCTATAATCCCAGAAATGGGGAGGTGGAGTCAAGAGGGTATCTGGGGCCCAATTCCAGCCTGTCCTGATGCTGGCACCCACTGAGAGACTATCTCAGAAAGCAAGGCAATGGCAGGCACCTGGGGAGTCATAACCAAGACTGGCCTTTGGCACGTGCACACACACACACACAACACACACTCAGACACTCACACGTGCACACCCTCCTCACATCATGCTCACACAGGGAATCCCGTTGGCTATGTAGCATGAGGACGATTAATGGGGAAATATGATGCACGCCTTACAGGAGTCGGAAGGGTCATGTCCTGCCCGTAGCCGACAGCTGTTCTGAGACATTGGTGGTGCTGCTCACCCTGCCTTGTTCATTGTGCTCTCAGAGGTGCACAAAGGGCTCCACACCTGTGGCTACACCCAAAGTAATAATCCTTCATTTTCTCAACCCACAGACTAAGGCAGGATTTTAGGAGTACGGCTCCGTGATGAACTGGTTATAAAATATAACTTAAAACTGTTGGTTTAGCGGAGTGGTGGTGGCGCACGCCTTTAATCCCAGCACTCGGGAGGCAGAGGCAGGCGGATCTCTGGGAGTTCGAAGCCAGCCTGGTCTACAAGAGCTAGTTCCGGAACAGGAACCAAAGCTACAGAGAAACCCTGTCTCGAAAAACCAAAAAAAAAAAAAAAAAAAAAAAAAAAAACACACACACACAAAACAAAAACCTGTTGGTTTGAAGAAAAAATAAAGAGATTATAACCAAACTGGTAAAGCAAAAATCGGTAACCCAGACAAAACTGACCCCCACACGTGGTGCATCAGTCTCCAGAGCTGTCGGTGGGACACCCAGTGACTTCCTTGTATTCTTGTGGTCATATCTAACCACTTACAGGGGTGCTTATGGCTGCTTCTTATTTGTCAACTGCTTCTTTAGGTATTTATATCTAGGCTGTTTTTTAAAAAAATTACCAGAACCTGACCCACAATTCTATTTTTATCTTCTTAATCTTTTCTTTTTCTATCTTATCTCATTAGGTATAGGAAATACTAGAAATGATGTCCTAATCATGATGGTTAATGAAAGATGACAATCAAAGAATAGTATTTTCTGTAATGTTTTGCACCTTTATACACTGTTTGTGTCCTTTTTAATTGACATTCACTATTACAGGGAAATAACTTTTCAAATGTTCAAGAACTAAGTCTATACAGCAAATCACTTTGATTGGCATAAAGACGATGTTCAATCACTTTCTGTTACAGTCTATAATATGACCCGTAGTGACCTTTGCGGAACTGCTGACACCTTTCCTAGATCAATAATTCAGGTTTGTGCCTCTGCTCCCGGATAGAGCACTGACCATGTTGTTAGTTCCTCCTTTCATTGCTGTGACAAAATCCCCGGCAAAGGCAGCGCAGCTCAAGCAGGGGTTCACTGTGGCTCACAGCTCCAGGAGATGCAGTCCATCATGGCAGAGAAGGCAAGGCCGTGGGAGCAAGAGGCAGCTGGTCACCTTGTGTTAGCACTGAGGAAGCAGACGGTGGAATGCCTGTGCTCAGATCACGTGTCCTTCTCATTCATTCTGGATCTCCAGCCCTTAGCACGGCACCACACACATGCAGGGTTCATCTTCCCACCATCACGTGTCTTTTCATTCATTCTGGAACTCCAGCCCTCAGCACAGTACCACCGACATGCAGGGTTCATCTTCCCATCCCAGATACTTAGATCTAGGTAATCCCTCTCAGGGATGTTTAGAGAGTTGTTTCTATAATGATTTAAAATCCCACTAAGTTGCCAGTGGAGTTAAGGCTTCAGAACTCCCTAATAACCCACACCACTTCTGCATCAGTGGAACCAGTGTGCTGCCAAGCAATAAGCTTCCTGGCTGTTTTCCTCCACTGCTCAGCCATTTCTTAGCCTTGATGAGTTAAAATCCTCAACTCCTGCCCATGTAACTGTTCAGTAAGCCGGTGTGCTGCCCTCCACAGGGCTACTGCCATTATAGTCCACAGCAAGGACCCAGTGACCCCAGCTTTCAGTGTTCCTCGCTCCTAGCAGAAGTTTAGGAAAGGGACACCTGCAGCTCATAAAACTTCTTGCAAAGCATCCTTAAATTCCTTCTTTCCTAGGCAGCTCCCCGTGTTGGAACACACCCAGAAAGAGGAGAGTGTGCTGTGGTTTCTGCCTCTTTCCATCAACTTCTAGCAAGCTCTGATTTGAGCTTGCCTGCCTTGGCTTCATTGTTCTCTGCTGTGTGTCTATCACCATCATTACGTTCCCTGGCCTACCCTCTCTACTGATATTTAGTTCACAGTTTCTGGGTTCTCAGAAGCTCTCCTGGCAGCAAATCTCTACTGGTACCATTAAGGCAGTATCGTAGACCGTCTGCCTCCCCTGCTTCCAGCCCAGGCTCCTATCAGTAAAATACTAACAGCTGGGCACACAAACAGCACAACACAGCTGTGCCATCAAGCACCTCAGATGGGAGGGTCTCTGGTCACCACAAATTAGAGCCACATCTAGTGGGTGACATCATTCAAGACACCAGGCTTTCCAGCCACCAGTGTTCTTCCTTGGGATTTAATACAGCTCTAAACATGTGTGGGGATATTCTTTGGCGATTTCATGTTCAGCCTTTTCTTCTTGTGTAGTTAACATAATCTGGCCTCTAAATAACCATCAATCTATCTCCAAAACCATATCCTTCCTTTTTAGATTAATCCTCTGTCCAACTTCATTCCAAAACGACAAGTTTTCATCAGTAATGTGATAAAATGCTTCAGCCTCTGGGGTGGGTGTGTGTGTGTGTGTGTGTGTGTGGTGTAGTTCAGATGCATGCACCAATACATGCATGTGTAAACACCAGAGGAAAATATGACTTATTCCTTAAGACAGGCTCTCTCGCTGAAGCTAGAGCTAGGCTGGCAGTTAGCAAGTCCCAGTGGTCCTCCTATCTCTGCCCCGCTCAACGCAGTGACCCAGTGCCAGGGATACTTGTCCTTTGGGAGTCTTTGTCAAGCTAACCCCTTCTCCCTTTGATTTAGTATTCTATTTGGGTCTGGATGTTGCAGAGCCTTTGATTTTCAGGTTTCAGCCAGAAAGGAATGTGAATGTCTGCATTGAAAGGCTGCTGAGGCAAGCTCACTCTTTTCAAATTCTCTCACTCTTTCTTAATTTCAAAGGAAGTCAGAATAGCCCTGCAGAAGTGTTAGTAGGATGTAGTGTCTGTCCATCAGCAAAACTTGAGCGGTTTTTCTCATCTTTCAGATGATAGAAATTTCTTTTGCTTTCTCATGTGTACTAAAATGGCATTGGTTGGTCTGAGTCACCCGTTACCACTGCAAATGGTATTTTAACTTGCAGCAGCCTGCAGCAGGATGCTCTGTTTACATGATAATTGCATGGAATAATCTTTTAACTCTCTTAGCACTGTATCATGTCTTCTCTCTGCAATGCATGCTGGCCACTGCTGTATATGAGAGGGGAGGGGAAGTTGGTATGGGAGCATCTAGGGATCTCCAGTCTCCACCTCCCATTGTTCCACAAAAGCACTGGGATTACAGATGTGCACTGAGGAGACACCACATCTGGATACTGGGATTCTGGGGAACTGAAATTAGGTCCTCACGCTTGTGCAAAAAACACTTTATTCACAGAGCCAAACTGCACCCTGCTGATACCCCTGGTATTTCCCATCTCCCTGGCGGCAGGAGGATGGAGCAAATCCTCTGCCACTACCCCTCTCCTCAAGCAGAGGGAAGTAGGTCTGGACTGTGCCTACCTTAGCTGTGCTTAGCTTTGCTTAGCTTTGCTATGGGGAGGAGCCACTTTGTTTTTTTGTTTATTTGTTTCCTCAGGACAGGGTTTCTCTTCTAAGAACACTCAGCTCTCTCTCTGGGAAATTCTATTTCCAATGTCTGGTTTGCTGTCTTTCCTTCAGTAGTTAAGGGGAAATTTTGGTGCTAAGCACATCTGTGTCCCAACCTTCCTTAGTGCTTTAAGGCAAGATTTTCTAGAGACAAAAATAGAGTCAGGGCCAGCAAGATATCTCATCAACTAAAGATGCTGGCTTCCCAGCCTGGAAACCTGAGATCAGTCCCTGGAACCCACATGGTAGAAGGAGAGAACTAACTCCCAGAGGTTGTTTTCTGACCTCTGATGTGTTGTGGAGCGCGCGCGCACACACACACACACACACGAAATAAACATAAAAATCTTTTGAATGTGTAGTCAAATGCCCTAACAGCACAACCTTCTCATGGCTTTACCATTTTGTTGTCCAAACGCTTCCTTATAAAATTCAGCACATTGACCCATGTTGACATCATTGACTTGGAATTAACAACTGGTTATTATTTCATATGATGTGGACTATGGCAGATTAAGACATTCAAAGGTAGACGCTAATGTGTGAACTGATTGAAAGCATTGAAATTATGTCCAGCAGTTGCTTAGTAGCCTCTCTACACAACTAATCAGGCACAAAAGTTCCCTGTGAAATTGGCACTCACTTTTTGCCCTGTATCTGACAGCTAAAGCTAACACTAATAATCATTACAAGTATGCCTCACTCTGAATATATTTGATTCTGAACATATGGTCATATGCTCATTTCTATACCACAGTGCACTCTGAGTTTGGGATATTGGGTGGCCAGAGTGTAGAAATCCAGGTATTTCTCTGAACTGTTTCTACTCCCCAGGGTTCCTGAGCACAAACATTTAGGGAGTGAGGAGATAAGGAATTGCAGTGGTCAAAGAATAGCCACTTTCTTTTCTTGCAAGAAGTCTGGGATTTAGAAGTGGTACTTGGCTTGACTGTTGCCATCTTCTTGGGGCTTTGAGATCTTGAAATGATAGCTGGCTTTACTCTTCTGCTCAGTACATGGCCAGGTAATTATTGCTGATATAATTCTTTATGCACTCACAAAGTAAACATTTCCTGATTTATATCTCTCGTCTTTTGTGGCTAGTATAATTGGGTGTGTGGTGAATTTTTAGGACTTGAAGTTTCAAAACCAAAGTCAAGTGGAGGCCAACCAGACACATCCCACAACGTCATAGTGGGAGAAGAGATGTTCAAATTACACCACATAGAGGAAAGAGGGACATTTCCTAATCTGTGGCTTAATGAAGCATGTTTAAATGTTTGAGGCTGAAACAGACTTACTAGGAATAGGGAAAAAGGCCTGTTTCTAGAAAGATTCAAAATAGGGTAAGGAAGATAAGAATTAGTAGGATTTTTGAATTTTGTTTCAAATCAGGCAAAAAAAAAGAGAGAGAGAAAGGAGAGAGAGAGAGAAGAAAGAAAGAAAGAAAGAAAGAGAGAGGGAAGGAAGGAAGGAAGGAAAAAAGGAAGGAAGGAAGGAAGGAAAGAGAGAGAGAGAGAGAGAGAGAGAGAGAGAAAGAAAGAAAGAAAGAAAGAGAGAGAGAGGGAAGGAAGGAAAAAAGGAAGGAAGGAAGGAAGGAAAGAGAGAGAGAGAGAAAGAAAGAAAGAAAGAAAGAGAAAATTTAAACCTTAGCTGGCACACCCAGACAGACAGCCCTGAATATTGAGTCAACAGAAGGGAGTTAAGGACTCATTCTAATGAGCCAGCAGGGTAAGGAGAATGGTGTGTGGCATTGTGCTTTATGCTTGAGAGGCACAAACATTATGTTGACTCTAAAGAAATATAGGACAGAATAAGATAAACCCAGAGCAAGAGTCTAGGCCCTCTGGATTTGATCAAGGTCTTCCATCTTGATTGTTGATGTCCATCTTGTTTATTTAACTTTCAAGTCATCCTTGTGACGGTCGATCTGCTGCTTTAAGTATGGACGGACTGAGAGTGACTTTTTACCTACTTAAGAAGATCCACTTGTTCTCTGAGCTTCTGCTGGGAGGTCCTTAGGCTGAGAAAAATCCTGGAGAAGAGGACATGACAAGGAAATGAAATGGGTTGTGGGAAGAAAGGGGCACGGGTTGGAGAGAGGATGAAGGGCTAGAAGGTGGGCAGCAGGAGGGGAGTCGGAGGGAGTGAGGCATCAGAGTCCTGCTGGGAACAGGAAGCATGGGAGGAGCAGTGTATTTTGGGTAACAGGGAGAGACGACTGAAAGGAAAGGGCCCTGAGGAGAAAAAGAAAATGATATAGGAAGTCTGGGTAAGACAGGCATGCCATTAGGGAGCATCCAGGACGCCCCCGTGCCCATCAGCAGCATGCAGAGAAGCACAGAGCTCCTGTGTGCACCTCTACCTCAGTCCTCATGTGGCTCGTGTCCCCGTCTCCTGAGTCAGCCCAGTGCAGGTTTCTGTCTTCCCCTGTAGCATTGCTGCCCACCATAATCCCCTTTGATTATCTGCAGTGCACACCATTTCCCTGCCTGGTGCCATGGCTTTGTGACTAATCAGTGGGCTAGTAAACCAAGGAGCGCAAGACAAACTCTTAGCAGGCTGTGAATGCCCTGTTAGCTGAACTAAGACAAGCTAATGGGTAACGGAAGGGCTCAAGTGTCTTGCATGTCTTTGTTTACCATAAGAACTTCCATGAGACGGAGAAAGTAAAGGAGAAAAGAAAAGAAAATGATGGAGAAGGGAAAAGATCTTGCAGCTCTTTGAATTCATCAGAGGGACATAACAATGCCTGTGTGGGTGATTACGGGAAATCCTTACTGGAAAAGGCACCAACTTCTGGTCATTGAGGCTTTCTTTTCCTTTGACCTCCAGGTAGAAGAACGCTCAAGACTAAATAGACAGAGTTCACCTGCCATGCCTCACAAGGTCGCCAACAGGATCTCTGACCCCAACCTGCCCCCAAGATCAGAGTCCTTCAGCATCAGTGGGGTTCAGCCTGCTCGGACACCCCCAATGCTCAGACCTGTTGACCCCCAGGTATAATGTATCTTCTCTTCTAGTGGACACTTGTACCCAGCAAAGCTTTAAAAATCTAGAAGATTCTAGCATGGCATAGGACCAAAGAAGTAAAGACTCTTAGCATAGCATTCAGAGGGACAGAAGCCTCTCTGCATTGAGAGGCTCAAGAACACAGGTGTGGAGATAGAGCAATTGACCTTTAGTCAACTTCAAGGTCACTTCTTGGTAAAGTGGCTCCTGTGGAGAACCTTGCAAGTGCTGCAGGGTGAGGACATGCATTCTTGTAGCTACAAGCAGGAAAATTAAAATTCATATATAGATCTCTGAGGTAGACTATGTACACATATTCTTCCTTTCCTTGAAACATGGGTGGAAATCTGAACGGGAACACTAGAATCGGCTTGGTGAAATAGACATGTGCTTTCTTAGCCTGTGGTTCACCAGGCATGCCCCCCCCCCCAGGCCCTCAACCTGCAGCACCATTAGCATGGTAAAAATACACACGCCTGTGTCTGTGTCAGACCTGATGACAGGGGACTCGGGGTTGGACCAGGCACATCCCCAGGCCAGCAACCTGCAGCACCCATGAGCTCAGTAAAAATGCATACTCCTGTGTCTGCCTCAGCCCTGGTGAGTCAGGCCTGCCAGGCTGACTCTAAAAGCCTCCCGGGTTGATTCTGGTGCCCTTTAGAGGCTGAGAAGCACTGTGTGAAGACATTTGGTAGGGAAAGATTATTTCACTGTTAGGAAAGATGCTTCCTGACCATTTCTGCATAGATGAAATTCCAAGTGAAATAGGATGTGGAAATTTCATAGGGGAAAAGATAATACAGCTTGCTCACACAAACATCTCAATTCCTTCCCAGCTCCCAGCTGCAGTAAGGCTTCCCCAGTGTGTTTTCAGGTCACCTTTGAAGTATGCACTGATGTTTGAACTGGAACTTAAAAGAATAATGATAAAAAAAAATCAATGCTTTTGTGTTTTAAGTTGGCAGTAATGAACGAAATTCAAGATGTCTCAGCACCAACCAATTTAATACACCTTCCCCTGATTGTTTTTATCTGTACATAATTATCTCTTGCAGACTTTTATAAAGGGGACATTTAACAAGGGTTTGCCTTCTTTTGAAAACCTTCAACTTTGACCTTATAATGACCCTTTGCCCTGTGAAAGGGGAGCCTTCTGGGGCAGTGTGCCTTCTGAAATAACGAGGAAAGAAAAGTATAGACTTTCTATGGAAGCATTCTTCGGGTGCTTCAATGTTTAGGGTGCTTGGAATGGTCTGCTCGAGTGAGTTGGGGTTTTGTACTAGAAACTTTACTATGTTTTGTTTTAATGTTATTTAATATATTTAGTGGTGTTTACATCCGCATGAACATTACAAGGTCTATCGGCTGATGCCGAACAGAGCCAAGCATGGAGGATTTCCTTGCTTGTCAGTATGACACTCCAACAGGAATTGCAGACAAAAGAGGGCTTGGCAGGTCATCGTGCACACCAACAGGAAATCAATACAGCTTGAATTAGTGGTTTAATTTAGGAAGCACACTAGATCTTTTTTTCTTGCGAGTCACGGTTCATGGACTACAGGCCAGGCCCGGAGATGGACTCAGGCTCCAGTAGAGAATGCAGTGTACACGATACGGTAGGGCAGGCTTCAGTAGTCACAGAGTGCAGCGGCACACGTAGTGGTGAAAGGCTCCCTCGTGGCCTGGATTTGGGTGATTCTTCTTAAGAGGCCAAATGAAAATCCCAGAAGCCATCCCTGCATGGACCATAGCACTGCATGCCTAACTATTGAAATAACTCCTCAAGAAACATCCTGGCATTAGGGGATGGTGTACGTTATCCAGTCCTGCAGAGCCTGAGATAAGCCATTCCACAAAGTACTTGCCATACAAGGACCCAAGTCCAGGCCCTAGAACACACATAATAAAAAAAAAAAAGCCAGGCATGGTAGTGCATGCTTGTAAACCTGGCACTGGAGAAGTGGGTGCAGAGAACCCTTGAGGCTTGTTGGCCAGGGCTTAGTCAAATTGGCAATTCTAAGCCAGCGAGAAACTTGTTTTAAACAGAGTGACGACCATGTGTGACACAAGCCTTTAATCCCAGCACCCAGAAGACAGAGGCAGGTAGATTTCTGTACGTTGTTAAAGGCCAGACTTGACTACACTGAGTTCCTGGCCAGCCTGAGCTGCACAGAGAGACCCTGTCTCAAGAAAGAGCAGAAGAAGGAGGGAGGAAAAGAGTCAGAAAGTCAGACAGACTATAAACCAGGTAAACATTCTGAAGTTGATCTCCAGGCTCTAAACATACATGTGCACCTACATACAAACACACACACGCACACACATAAGGAAGAAAGAGTACATGATAAAGCTCAGCGGTGAAATCTACTTAATCTCTTTCCACCTGGGATTGCTCGAGTCTGAAAGGAGACTGGTTGTGTCTACCCCAGGGTGGACTCAGTGAGCTCCGGAAAGGAAAGCCGTTTAGAGCATCTCCTCTTCCACAGAACAATGTATCTAAAGTCAAAGCTAAGGGCTTTACTAGAGGGAGCACAGGATAGCTTATAAAACAGCTTGTGTTGCTGTCCAAGGAATGTTGAATAAAGGTAATTATTGTCACTACCACCACACTACTCCTTGACTTCTCAGCAGTTCCAGCGAAAACACCAAGCCTGCTGCCAGGATCCCTGATTAAGCCCTCCGTGTTTTCTAAACTGAAGATTCTGGAGGCTGTAAGAAGCATGTGTGCAGCCTTGACTAGCGGGAGGGTCTCAGCCTGTGAGGTTCATCCCAAGTGCAGCTATTGCTAACTGAAAACCACCTTGTCAATAGCTCTGACGAATTCAGCTCCTGCATGCAGAACTTCTTGTCCTTTCGACCTATGGGCTTCTAATAATGCTGACTTTGTGCTGTCTGCTTAGATCCCACAGCTGGTAGCTGTAAAATCCCAGGGACCTGCCTTGACCGTCTCCCAGTCAGTGCACGAGCAACCCACAAAGGGCCTGTCTGGGTTCCAGGAGGCTCTGAATGTGACCTCTCACAGGGTTGAGATGCCACGCCAGAACTCAGATCCCACCTCAGAAAACCCTCCTCTCCCGACTCGCATTGAGAAGTTCGACCGAAGCTCTTGGTTACGACAGGAAGAAGATATTCCACCAAAGGTAGCGTCAGTGCTGCGGTGTGTCTGTGTCCTCCATGCTGGGTGTGTCTGTGTCACCAGCACCATCAGCACCCACCACTATTCCATCCCTTTCACAGTTTGGAGACCACGATTGTGCCCAGGCCCTTCCCTCCTCACAGCTGCCATTGCCCTTTCTCTAAGCTAAGTCTTAGGCAGTCATTTCTGATCTTTGTTTTCCCGGGGGGGGGGGGGGGGCAGAGACTCAGTATGAGTGAGAGGAAAGTAAAGTCTTCACACAGAACTGGAACTCGCAACCCCAAACACTCTAGACCACTTTGCTGTTCCTGTTAGAAGATAGACTAGTGGATATTTTCAATAAACATTGCACCTATAGCTAGACAAACCAGAGAAAGAAAAGAAAATTCACTTACTCTTATATTTAACAGCACAAAACTCAACCAGATTTTTGAAGGTTCAGGCAATGGTCTGGATCCTGTAGAGAGGAGACTCGGCCAGTAAAGTGCTTGCCATATAGCCACTGGACCTGAGTTCAAGACTCTAGCACTCACATAAAAGCCAGGCACGGTGACATATGTCGATAACCCTAGTCCTGAGGAGGTGGAGACAAGACAACCCATAGCCAGAAAGTAGATAAACTGGTGAGCTCCAGGTTCAATGAGACACTCTGTCTCACACACACACACACAGAGAGACAGACAGAGATAGAGAGACAGGCAGAGGCAGCTACCCAACACTGACCCTTAGCTCCATAGGCATACGCACACAGGGCTGTCACACTCATGCACACACATATGAAAACACATACATACAAATGCCTTTCGGCAAGTCAGTTGGCTCATGTAAGGAATGCGCCCTCTAAGCAAAGGAGTACTTTATTCCCAGCCTTAATACAGAGAACTGTACTTCAGAGTGGAATGACTAGCTTTCCCACTCTACAGAACAACCTTGAATTCTTTTCTTTCATTATACATTGCTAAATTGTTATTTGTTCTAAGCAATATTCTAGAATGTCTACAGTCAACCTGGATGTCTTTAAAATGCTAACGACATTTCCTGGTCCATGAATGTCTTTTCTCCTGAGCTCAGCATACAATGAAGCTGTGATAATTAGAATGTCCCATAATTTCCATAAAAATAAAGTAGTTTTAATGATTTACAAGCAATCATTATCTCCTTCTGAAGTGGGAATCACAACAGGATTGCCATCATTTGACAATCAAACACGGACAATGTTTGAAACCTGGAAGGGGAAATGGCTGAGCCTCTCTCTAAATCCTTGCGGGTAGACATGCGGAAAGCCAGGGAGAAACATTAGGTCAGTGGAAATACTCAGGGTTTGGTCCTCATTGAGCCCTTCTCTCCAAATGTTCTCATTTACAAAAAGAAAGCGGGGAAATGACAACAGTAAGGTTTAATCTGAACAGGTGTTGTACCGATTTGACCATTTTGTTTTGCTTCCTTGATTCTACTTTGCATTAAAATGAATTATAACAAAACATTTTTTTCAAAATAGACAGAGGATAACACTTACATTGAAAGTCATCTTTTGCACTAATATTAGTGTGTTTCTTGGACTCCCTTTGCATAATACCTGAGCGCACAAGCAGGAGTCTGCAAGCTTTGCGAGACTTTGCAACCTTTGAACTCCACCCCGCACTTTCCCAGCTGAGCTAGTAATACATACTTGTGCTATGCTTCCCAGCTGTATTATCCTCACACAGGCATTTTGAAGACCCTTCTAGTATTTCCAATATTAATTATGTTTTATAAATAGCATTTACTAATTGACCACCAAAACACAATGTTTGAGGTGTGGGGTTGTATTTAACAATAGTAGCTCACTTAGGAAGTATAACAGTCCGTGTTTTCACGTTATAAGAACGGTAAGAGCTGCAGAGATCACCCAGCGTCAGAGCACTTCTGCTCTTGAGAGAACCCTGGGTCATTTCCCCACACCCACACTGGTTGGCTCACAAGTACCTGGAACTCTGGTTCTAGGAGATCTGATGCCTTCTCCCTGCTTCCACGGGCACCCAGCACAAACGTGTGATCCATGCATGCAGGGATTCACACATACACAAATATTGAAAAGTAAGTAATAAAGAGATAGCTTCTCCAGGCTCCCCAGCATGTGATTTACTGTGGAGGTCTAGACTGGTGCCCTAGCTCTTCACTAGAGTTCATAATCTATTTGTTCATTATGCTGTGAGCTAAAGTGAAATGTGGCGTTGTCCCCTGTGCAGCTCCCACCAACTGCACTTCTCAGAAGTAAGGGCGCTCACTGCACAGAGATCTCTCACCTACTGCACAGAGATCTCTCACCGACTGCACAGAGATCTCCCCACCTGCTGCATCCACAGGAGTAGGGCTGCTCACTGCACAGAAATTTCCCCAGCTACTGCACCGAGATCTCCCCACCTGCTGTGCTCCACAGGAGTAAGGAAGGGTGCTCACTGCACAGTGATCTCCCCTAGCTACCACTTGTTCAAACAAGAGAAGGTAGTTTCTTAGAGCTCAGTAAGTCAAGGTAATTAGTGTACCCTCTGCTGTTTTAAGATTGAAATGACCTTAATAGCTGTGGAGCAGCCCTCCTTGACTCTTGACAGCAGGTAGTCCCTTGACTTTGCTTTGGAGTTAGCTGTTTCACTGAAGGATTGCAAACAGTTCTTCCTAAAGAAGGCACCTTCTGTAGCTTATAGCCAGCCTTCCAAGAGGAGAAGACTCTTCAGAGAGTAGCCTACCTGCATTGTATTATGGGAAATAAATCTCAATTCCTGTTTTCTTCCAGGTGCCTCAAAGAACAACTTCTATATCCCCAGCATTAGCCAGGAAGAATTCCCCTGGGAATGGCAGTGCTCTGGGCCCCAGACTTGGATCTCAACCAATCAGAGCAAGGTAAGGGGAGAAAGGTCACCATGATTATCCAAGATACCTGCTTTCCCAAAGAATGTCTCTGATCTTTTCTTCATTCCTGAAGTATGTGCCCTTGTCACCTGGACTGTCGACTTTGATGGCCTTTTATAACTTCACTATGAGGTTTTGAAAATCTGGGCACAAACTTAGAAATACAGATGTGGCTCAACATTGCATACCTTTGCTTCGGAGAGCAGCCGTGGAGTCAGAAGAAAGAAATCAGAGTTGCAGTGCAGTGCCAGGTCAAGAAAGGTGCCCCAGGAGCCACTGGAACACAACAAAGCTCTTCCCTAGGAAACAGCGACTCCAGAAACTCTGTAGCTTGTCCCGACAGAACCAACTCTGATCAGGAAGCCACCCTACTGGAGTTATGCACGGTCTCTGAAATACAGTTATGCCTCCACGATTTACTCTATGTCCTTCCAGGACTTTCCATCCAATGCATATTCCTATAATCAGGAGGGTGCATCCAACTTGTGCTGGTTGGTGCAGAAGTCTCAAGGGCTGCTGGGAAGTAAACAGTGCCTGCACGGTATCTGGGCAGACTTAATGTGGAGACAGATGCTGTTTGTTGCTGTCGCTCATCAAGTTTCCCTTGGATCTGTAGTGATGAATGCATCCGTTTTTAGGATCCACTGGAATAGCCAGTGGCCTCTGCTGAGGCTATAAAAAGGATGACTAGGGCAGGCTGTTTTCTTCTTCTCTGTGCTCACGATGAGAGAAAGACCACAAAGAGGGAAGGGGAGAAAGGAGGAGGATGGGGACACTTATGATTTTGTTTGTATACAGAATCCTTTTTTTGATCTTAACTCTTCTCTTGAAAGACCTTAGGAAGGGGTCATTCCCAAAAGGAGGAAGCAGTTGACTTAGAATCTCTTTGGGGGAAATGTTCCCACTTCGTTCTAAGTGGAGCTGCAAATTGTAGGAGTCTATGAATCCCTTGTTCTTCTGCAGGTAGCCAGATCTGTGCCTAGCTGGTGTAGCTAAGCAATCCTACATTAGCGGAAAGCTGTGCCCAGGAGACAGAGGCATGCTAGCACTGGGCACAGGCTGAGCTTTATCAGTCCCTCTCTTCCAGTCACCAGTGCGTCCTGATCTCTCGAACCCTGCCCTAGAGGCTGTTTTCATTAGGCCAGTTGCTTGGAATTTGGATGCTTAGATGAAGCATCATCCCAACCTTAAGTACTTTTCTGTTAACCAAACAGAAGGACCTGCTATTACAGTCAAGTAAGAAGCAGCTGTTTAATTCTTCAGAAATGTTTTTAATAACATTTCAGGCCCAAGATAATGGGTATTTGATAGTCAGTAACCTATAAATGGTGTTTCCTTTGGGATACTTAAATACTATATTTGTGCAAAGAATGTAAACTCTATGAGAGACGACAACCAGTGTCTGCCCACTGACAGCCGAGAAGTGGCCTAATAGTTTGTGGTTATCCACCTCCAGTGCACAATCGAAGATTTGGGCTGAGAGGGTGGAGACTCCCCATCTCTTCGTGTGTGACAGTCTGCAGAACACTCTTGCTTCTGCCAGCATTCACCTCCACATGACCGAATGTGACTCCATGGCTCTTAGAAGTGGTTCAAGGCAGTTGTTGCATAAGCCTGGCAACTTGAGTTTTATCTTCAGAACCCATATAAAATTAGGAGAGAACCCCACAAAGCTATCCTCTGACCCCCACAAGTTTTCCATGGTGTATGGAGACATCAGTGTCCAGTGTTCTTCTCAATGACCCTCCATCCTGTTTTCTGAGGCAGGGTTTCTCACTGCTGCAGCTAGGACAGCTAAAGATGCTCCCATCTCTGCCTGCCCAGCCCTGGGATTACAGATGGTGCTACAGCACTTTCCAGGTGGCTATGAGGCTCCAAATTCAGGCCTTTGTGTTTGCATAGTAAGTGCTTCGCTTACTGAGTCATCTGGTGGGATGCCCTGCCTCCCGTGCTGCTGCTAGTATGGAAACAGCCCTAACTCTTGGCTGGACCTAAGTGACAGGCCATCACTTCTCACAGTTCTGCAAGTGAACTTAAAAGTTCTATGATCTGGCTTGGAGAGATGGCTCAGTGGTTAAGAGCATTGCCTGCTCTTCCAATGGTCCTGAGTTCAATTCCCGGCAACCACATGGTGGCTCACAACCATCTGTAATGATGTCTGGTGCCCTCTTCCGGACTGCAGGCATACACACAGAAAGAATATTGCATACATAATAAATAAATAAATATTTTTTAAAAGTTCTATGATCTGAGCTCACTCACGCAACTTCCCTGAGCTGCCCATTCAGCTGTATCTCTCACTCCCCAAGCTCTTCCCTCTGGGCACGTTCAGTTTTGTCCATCTCAGATCAGAACATCATAGGGGAAGACACAAATGCACAAGGTTTTGGAAGATTTCTCTTGAGTCATCTTCCTTGTATTATAGTGGGTTTATGGCTAAGCCCTGGGCATGGAAAGAAACTTCACGGGGTCATCAACACTGGGACTCGTGCCTCCTCCCCATTTCATCATGGTTCTTCTGCTTCTGGCCAACAGACCATCATTCATCAAGGGATTTGCCTGCTCTCTCATGCTCCTAAGCTGTGTTTCCTATACTCGGTCAACATTCCTTTCATTTCTTTTTTTTTTTTTTAAATAGACCTTAGGCTTTAATATTTACATGATACTTTATCTTTTTTTTAATAATTTTTTTTATTAAGAAAAGAAGAAAAAAAAACATAAACAAAAAACAAGTTTCCACCTCCTCCCAGCCTCCCATTTCCCTCCCCCTCCTCCCACCCTTCTCCCCCTCCTCCCACCCTTCTACCCCTCCCCCCACTCCTCTCCCCCTCCCTCTCCAGTCCACAGAGCAGTCCAGGTTCCCTGCCCTGTGGTAAGTCCTAGGTCCTCCCCCCTCCGTCCATATCTAGGAAGGTGAACATCCAAACTGGCTAGGCTTCCACAAAGCCAGCACATTAAGTAGGATCAAAACCCCGTGCCATTGTCCTTGGCGTCTCATTAGTCCTCATTGTTCGCCATGTTCAGAGAGTCCGGTTTTATCCCATGCTTTTTCGGTCACAGTCCAGCTGGCCTTGGTGAGCTCCCAGTAGATCAGCTCCACTGTCTCAGTGGGTGGGTGCACGCCTCGTGGTCCCGACTTCTTTGCTCATGTTCTCCCTCCTTCTGCTCCTCATTGGGACCTTGAGAGCTCAGTCCAGTGCTCCAGTGTGGGTCTCTGTCTCTGTCTCCATCCATCACCAGATGAAGGTTCTATGATGATATGCAAGATATTCGTCAGTATTGCTCTCGGATAGGGTCATTTCAGGTTCCCAATCCTCAGCTACCCAAGGAACTAACTGGGAACCTCATCTTGGGCACTTGGGAGCCCCTCTAGGGTCAAATCTCTTGCTCACCCTAAAGTGGTTCCCTTAACTAAGAATTGTGGTTCCGTGCTCCCCTATCCACCTTTCCTTTATCCCAATTCTCCTGATTCCCCAAATCCCCCCTCCTTCCCTTCTACCTTTTCTCTCCCCATCTCCCCTTACCCCCATCCCACCCCACCCCCAAGATCCTAATTTTCTCCCCGGCAATTGGGTCTACTTCCCTTAGCCAAGAGGATAACTATATGTTTTTCCTTGGGTTCACCTTCTTACTTAGCTTCTTTAGGTTCACCTATTGTAGACTCCGTGGCCCTAATTTATGGCTAGAAACCAATTATGAGCGAGTACATCCCATGTTCATCTTTTTGGGTCTGGGACACCTCACTCAGGATAGTGTTTTCTATTTCCATCCATTTGCCTGCAAAATTCGAGAAGTCATTGTTTTTTACCGCAGCGTAGTACTCTAGCGTGTATATATTCCATACTTTCTTCATCCATTCTTCCATTGAAGGGCATCTAGGTTGTTTCCAGATTCTGGCTATTACAAATAATACTGCTATAGTGAGTCTCAAGAGAAATGAGAAAACTAGCAAAGTTAGAAGAGATTTCAGTGACAATTACAGAGCTTAGTAGAGAACAGACTCAGGACATTTTGTGTTATTTGTTATTTCATTTGCTAAAGCTAACTAATATATGATAATGGTATATTCCAAGACTATGTGTGGTTTAGGACCAAGTGTTGCTGATGGCCAGGGACTGACTCCAAGACCCATGAGTCTAAATGTACCTCATGCTCGTCAGGCTACACACATCTTTGGGGATAAATTAAGCCTTACCTCTCTTTTCTTACCTTGCCTTGGAGTCAGTATGTAAGTGAACTTGCTTAAAGAAAGGATAAATTTGATAGCTAGAACCCGTGTAAAATATCAGGTATGGTGATATACTTACAATCCCAACAGTAGACATTATAGACAGGGGATCCCTGGGGCTCAATGGCCATCCATTCTAGCCACTTATGGTGAGCTCCAGGCCAATGAAGACTCCTGAGGAACACCTATGGTTGTATTCTGACTTCCCTAAGCACACCTCATACATTCAGCCACATGCACAACTCTACATACATATACACATACATTATTTTTAACAGCAAGGCTTCTCTCCTCTTCCTGAACAACTTAGGAACCCAGAGATCAAGATGGTAATGCTTCAACAAAAGTAGACTCCTGGTCCCTAAGTCATCACATAGAAAAGAACCCCCAAGGAAAGTGGTTCTTCTTGTCAGTATTCTGGTATGAATAAGAAATAAACTATGTGCTGAGTGAGCAAAAGAGGAAAAACAGACAGAAGCTGAAGGTTAAGAAGTTTATATTTTGTTTACTCCACTTAAAATAGTGAATCCCAGATTCCAAGGGCAAGACGTAATATAGTAACAGTCAAATGTGAGCTATTCCATAACAACCTGAAAACAACAGGTTTGAATCAACTGTAACTGTGTAGTACCCTAAATGGAAGAATCTGGAATCAGAGTGTGCACCTGAGTGTGTGTGGCTAATACAAGAAAATCAGAACCTTCTATTCTAGGTATACTTCCTTCCCAAAGAAATACTTCTCCACTATCTTACCTCTTTGCTG